CCGAAACAGTGCGATGATCGGTGGGGATAGTGTCACAGTCTTCTACTTCATACCAGATGATCTTGGAAGCGAGATTTCTAGAAGTCCATATTTGATCAATACAAGAAGCACTTGTAGCGGTGATGTGGGTATATGCATTTTCATCAAATTGTTGACCAATGTCTATGTAGTTGTTGAGATAATTATAAACTTGCTGTTTGAATAGTGACGTTTGAGCACCTATGGATGGACTATTTTTGGGGTATAAGTTGAAATCACCCATTATTATATGATGGAGTTTATGGAGAATAGCAAATTTTGTTGTCTGGTAAAGTTGGTTGGTGGCTAATTTTCTTTCTTTTGCATTATGAGGAATATATGTAACCGTGAGGAGGATATTTGTTTTTTCTTTGGATTTCATGATAATGAAAATGCAGTATTCTAAAGTTTTGCAGATTTTGAATACATTAGATATTAGATCTTTCCCAATAATTAGTAAGGTGCCATTTCATGTCGTGTTGGAGGATTCTCCGTAAATTAGTGCTCTGCCACTTATATTTTTAGGGCGATAGTTGCCTTTTTTAAGTTTGGTTTCTGAGCATAGTATTATTGTCCTTCCATCTGTGGCATTAGCCAGTGTTCTAAGTTTGGTGAAGTTGTTAAGACCTCTGGTGTTGATGGTGGTAAGAGTGATAAGATTTTTGATTCGATCTAGATTTGGAATTTGATGTAGTTTGTTGTCATTGTTTTTGAGATGAAGGTTTGGTGTAGGAATTGTTGTGTTTACATTAGAGTGGTTTTGCATGGAAAGGTTGAGATTGTTGATTATATTGGTGAAGTGTTCATTGCTTGTATTCATAAGTTATATTAACAAAGAAACGGGGTGAGAGCAAACTCTGGTTCTGGGAGCATCTCTTTGATGATTAAGGATTCGGGTAATTTGTTGAAGGAAAAGATCTTATGTAGCTCTGCAATGTTGACGGTGAGAAAGTCGTTATCATGCAGTGGGACACTTATTAGAAGAACGTTTCTTTCTTCCAAAATATGATTGATAGTGGTAGGATCATCTGGAAGAGGTAATAATGGTTCCTGGAACTATTCATTAGGGACTTTCTGAAATTCATACATGGCGTGGAGCTCTCTGATTGTTTGTTTCAATTTTTCATCCCTGGGAATAAATTGATTGATGTTGAAAGATGAGTCTAATTCTGAGATTTTGGTTGGTAACTTTGGTTTGTTTGTTTGTGAGATGGTAGGTGAAACCCACTGGGGACCCAAGGGAAGAGAAAAATGGAATTCGTTTCTGAAATGACTAATTAATGTTTGTGTGTCTTGATTGGTGGTTGTAGGGATTTGTAAGTTTAGTGGAGTGAGAATATCTTGAATTGAGTGGGGTTGTATAGTAGAGGACTCTTATTTTTGAAAAAATAGGATGGAAGGTGTTTAAAATAATATTTAGATCTGAGTTTGTGCACTACTATAGACAAATTATGCAGTGCAGTGTCTAGTGGAAAGTATTGTTCAAACTCGGGATCTAATTGATCCAGATCAAGTGGTAAAGGAAGTTTGGAAGGAGGGAGATCAAAATAAGATTGGGGGATTTTGGTGGAAACCGTGAAAAACCTTCTGACTTCTCTTAACTTAGATCCCAAATTTTTGAGATCACTTCTTTCTGTGATTGGGAAATGTTGAGAAAGATTCCTTGAAAGGTCCTTGGGGTTGTCTGATAGTGGAGGAAGGATAGAGAAGTACTCGTTCGGAAGAAGAGAGAATTTGTAATGGGAGTGAAGGGATTTGGCCACTTCTGCTGTGGTACTTCTATCAATGATAGGTATTCTGTGTGGAATTCTGGCTTTGATGCTGAAGGGAACTTCTTCAGGAGTTGAGGAAAGATCTGGCAAGAGTTCTGCCAGTAGTTTCTTATACTTTTGGTTTATTGAAAAGTAGTCTAACTTTTCGCAACCTTTGGGGAAATAGAAATAATTGCATCTGTATTCTAAGATTTGGGAAAGTAAGTTGGGATTGAGGTCGGTGATTTTGATATATCTTAAATATGCAATGAAGATGCTGGCGTTCAGGAGAAGCCTGATTTTGTGTTTGACTTCTCTGTTGAGTTGGGAGACGTTGTTTTTCTTTTTATAATTAGACTGGAACTGGAATTTTAAAGCTTCATATTCCTTTTGGTGGTCATTTTTGAGATCTTTCACCTTATTAAAAAAGAAAAATCTTCTGTTTCTAGCTTCTATTTTAATGAAAATTTCTAATCGAGGTTTTTGCCTAATAGGACCTTTGGGAGTGCTGGCAATTTCAAGAACTAACTTAGCCAGTTCTTGGGGGTTGCTTCTAATGGAGGAGAATTTGAAGGCCCAGTGAATAATAGCGTCTTGTTCACTGGCAAACTCTGATAAAATATAGTTGTCAAAATCATCCAAGTTGGTATCCAGGACATCATACTCTTTAATGTCGGTGGATAGAAGCAATATGTCTTCTTCATATCTGAACAACCTGGACCTTGCTTTTTCTTCTCTTTCATTTTGTAATGCTTTTCTATCAAATTTGTTTTTGATTATAGGATTTCTACTGGTGATATCTTTCTGTTCACTTGTGGTTGGTAAGATCGGAGATATGGGTCTTGACATAAGATTTATGCTGAGAAATGAAGTGGTTGTGGCTGCTAAGTTGGAGGAGTTAGCTGGATTGTCCATGTAAGCTGGTATAACAATGCTCTCTTCCTCTTGGTACTGATATGTACTGGCGGTGTTTCCCATTTCTATGTTGTCAGGTATAGGAAAGTTTAGATCTATAGTGGATAAGGTTTGATTGCTGAAGTTTTCAGATGCAGAGATTTTATGAGCGGTAAGGAGTTGATCCTTATTTATAGTGAAGTCCAATGATGATAAATTTTCTAATGTCATGCTGGAATTTGATTGGTTGGAAAGGAATATTTTTTTGATTGGATCGCTGATCTTGCATTGATGTGCTTCGCTGCTTGATGTTTTAGCAGCTATATCTTCTGATGGAGTAATTTCCATGTTCGAAGCCATAGATGAAGGTAAAGAGTGGAATGAAGGTATGCTTGATTGGTGAGTGTTTTTAAGAGTGTATGTTTTCTTGCCTCCTACTGTGTTTCTAATAATGTTTGTCCGGTTCCATGGGATATGTTTGAAATAGTTCCATCCTCTATTTAGAACTGTTTGGAGGATAGAATTCCTAAGGCCTTCGTTTTTCTTGAAGATTATCTGAAATGAGTTTTGATATTCCATAAATTCATCAAGATGTTTGGTTAATTTTTCCTTGGGGACTGTTGCATGGATAGATAAGCTTTTTTTATCTTGACTAGGAAAGAATTCAATTTGAATAATAGAGAGGTTTTCTGATTTTCTGGTAAGATTGGAGGTAGGAATGAGCCATCTGGATGAATGATTTGGCAGATATGGAATAGTGAATGTATTGGAGGGATTGGTGGTAATAATCTTGCCCTGGGGATCCTGATAGACAATAGATACATGTTGTTTGTCTCTTTCTATTAATACTACATCTAAAAGAGTATGTTGATTGGATAATAACCCTGTGTTGCTAAGTGATGGCAATGTTATTGGTATTGTGTGTTGGTTCGATTGGATGGATGAGGGTGTTATTGTTGACGTGAGGGATTTGGATATAATGTTATTGGACATTATTAAAGATTGATTCTATGTTTTGATTATGTCTATTGAACATGTTGTTTGTTGAAATTTATGTTAATATAACCACAGTTGTTGTTGTGGTTGATTAGTATATGAACTTTGTGAGGACGTGTTTATTTGTTGATTTGTTTATGAGAACACATGAGACACGTGTTTGATGTAGAATGTAAATTTCAATTTACACGTGTCAAGTTTAGTTATGTACGGCACGTGTCGTGCTTGTTGTTATTTATGTTGCTATTGTTTTTGATGTTGACGTGTTTGCACAACTTGAATTTTTGTGGGGGTAAGCTGTTTATGGTTTTTTAACCTATTGGTCTATACGTTAAGAAATTTTTGACTCTGTCCAGTTGATGGGGAGCTTTGAATCCTTCCAGCTCTCAAGGTAGTAACGAGGTTGTCTGATTTATCGGATGAAATCTGGCTTCTTGCGAGTTCTTGCAGTGCCTAGAAAGGTATTTAACCTGATACTGGCCTGGCTATAAGGTTGGCAGTGGATTTGGCTTCTTGGGATCTAACTGTGAATCAGAAAGTTTGCTTCCTTGTCCTCCTGGACAAGAAAATTGTTTGTTGTCTATTTTCTTTTCCTGTAAACAATAAAGATATTATGTGTTAGCTTTACAAATGTATATACCTTTGAATATGCTAAAGACTTCTTTTGGTTTCTGGATGTGTTTTAATAATTATATGAAGAGACTTTTTGTTTTTTGAGAAAGTACTTCCTAAAAAGGAAATTTGGGATGGACGGAAAAGAGTTCTTTTTTATAATAATTGATATTTTTAATTATAGAAAAACTGATTTATAAAAGAATTATAATATGATTAAATATGAATTGACTAGAATTATTTTTGACACAATTACATTATTAGAAAAGGTAATAAATAAATAAATTTTAAATTGATAGAATGCTTTTAAAAGATTTTTAATGGTTGTATTGAAGAATATTAATTAAGTATTTGACTGTATTGGATTTTATAAACTTTATTATTAGAAGGTCTTGATGGAGGATAAAAATCATAGACCACTTCAAAGAATTAAAATCTAAAGTTTAGAATATTATAATTACTAGCTTAATAACCAGAATACTTTTAATAATAAAATTGTTCTAGAAAAAATTAAAATGGATTTATATATTTTTTTAAAAACAAAATAGTATAATAAATTATTCAAGTTTAGATAATGTTAAATTAGATAATATATAACTAGTCATATATAGATAAGTTAACTATAAACATATATATATAATACTTGTTATATATATATAATACTGTTTTAAAAAGTTTAATAGAAATTGGTTAGCAATATAATCTAAACATAGTATTTTTGTATTAATACTACTGTAATATCTCATATACTAAAAGCATATATTTCAATAAAAAATATAAGCAAAAATACAAACAATTAGAATAATCATCACTATTACAAGTTTAGGTAGACAAACTATACTCTTTATAAATAACAAAACTGTGATATAAACAATATACAACATTAAAACAAAATTAAACAGAAAGAACTAATAGAGAAAATATAAAAAAAAATTAAAGAGAAAAGGTTAACAATCAATTTCAAGTATAAAAAAAAAAAAGTAACACCTATATATAGAAAATAAACAATATAGCAAAAAAGATCAGACATAATTAAACAAAAGAAAAAAAAGAAATAATATATAAATAAAAAGTAAGAATAAGTCTTAATTTCAATAACAAGTTTATAGAAAACAATATCAGAATAGAAATAAGAAATATGTTTGAAAGAAAGCATATTGTGAAATATTATATTATTAATAGGGAAGTGATATAAGGCATGATAGCATTATACATTTTGATGCATCTTATGTTCCAATTTTCAATGAATAATAAATAATAGTCTATAGTGATACTTCATAATTTTAGAGTTTATATTGATTATAGTTTCAGATAGTTTATTAGCTAGTATAAAAAAAATAAATAGATAGTCTATTTTAGCTTAGTCAGATAATATAATATAACATCAATAGTAAGATATGACATGTTATTATAAAAAGAAAAGAAGAAATGAAAATCATACAGCACATATAGCATACAATATACAAGATACAATGATAGCCTTAATTAAAAACTTTCTAATTGAAATATATGATTGATATTGCAAAAAGAGTAAAAACTAATTAGTTTACCTAATTCAGTACTTGTTGCAAGTGAAGGATAATAGGATATCACAAAAAAAAGTGGTAAAGGTTTTATCAAGAAAAGTGACAATGAAAAGAAAAGGAGGAATTAGCAAGACTCAGTTGAACAAAAATCATATGCCTCAAGTAGAAAAAGTCTAAATCTTACCTGACATTATATGAGGTGAGCTCCGAAGAAGTGACAGACTTGCCAAATGAGATGTCAACAATATGTTCAAAAGAATAAAGACATTTATAAAAAATACAAAAAAATTTTTTAGAAATATATATTTGAAACAAGAAACTTTACAAAAATCATAGAAAATTAATAAATAAAAAAGATCTTAATATATGAATTTTTTATAATAAATTGTGAATCTAAAAGTTGCCAATAATAAAAAGAAATAATTTGTATAGAAATAATATATATATACTATACAAAAATATATATCTAATATAAAAAATTAAACAAAAATATAGAACATATATTTATATATAAAGCAAATAGAATATATCTATTAGACTTAATAATTTAAATCATTATATGGTTGTATTATCATAAAAAAAAATTTGATTGATAATATAATTTTGAATTAAATATGAATTCCAATTATTTACTATATATTACTTGTAATTCTACCATAATATAGTTTTTGAAAAATGGTTGAATTTAATTCCATTATATATATAATTTAAATTATATTCAATAAGATTATATACAGTAACAAAAGAAATACAAAAATAATTAAATTCAAAAATGAAAATCAGTATAAGTAAAAAAAGAAAAAAACAGATAAACTAAATAAATAATAAAAGAAATAATTCCAAGAATATAATAATACTTATTTGTAAATAGACTTATAAGAAAATAACAATAACTTATATAATTAAATAATATTTATTTATAATAATATAATCAATGAAACTTTTATAGACAAATAAATATGAAGTAATAATAAAATAGAAAAAGAATTATAATATATTTAAAAAACATAAAAGAGATTAAACAAAATAATTATATAACTTAAGTAATAATAATAATAAGGCACAAGAAAATATAACAAAAAAGTATATATGTATCAGAAAAAAACTCTTAAATATACTCAATTATATTTATAAATCTTTTATAGTTAATATTAATACAAGTAGTATCTAAACTCTAGGATAGTAATAAACCATAGAAACTTTTATAATAACTGAAATAACAAAGATATATTGGAGTAATAACAAGTATAAATTAGTATAGTCTTATATATCCTAATATAAAAACAATATATATTTCAAATAATTTATAGTATATTAAGTATATATTAATAAAAATTTAAATTATTGATATACAAATATTTAAAAAAAAATAATTTATACAAAAAGAAAAAAGTATATGCATTATTAATATATATATAAACAATTGAATTATTTAAGAATAATTATTATTTTTAATATTTATAATTATTTTAATTTAAAAGAAAATCTGAAGCCATAGATAATAATAAAGAGTATAATATCTTCTTTAAGAAATCAAGTGAAAAGTATTGAATAGATTATCTGGATATTCTAACCAATCCTAAAAGGTACATGCTTCAAATGATTATCATTAAGATCTAGATTAAATTAGATAGTTTAAAACTAATGATAGAATTTTTATCTCCTAAAAATTTTACCTGGATGTATTAATCTACCTTTAGAATGATTAATTGGCATAACTGGGTAAGACAATAGGTGAGAGTGCAAGTTAACTTAAATGAATCCTGTAGTTATATAATTGAATATAAATAACTCAATAAAGCTTATATGCTATTGATACTCTTTATCCAAAAAAAAAATTATTATTTTAATTTAAATAATATTTGTATACTTAAACGTGCAGATTAATTTAAATTTAATATTTCAAGAGACTGACAACAATCCATGTAATAATTAAGTTTAACAAGTTTATTTTATAATCTGTATACAACTGTATTTGATAATTTATTTGTCAAGTACAGTTAACTCTTGATAAACGAATGGTTACACAACGATGGCAATCTTATTATAAACAACATAAATTCGGGTTTTATAATAGGATCTCCATCATTTTATCGAGAGTTGACTGTAAATATCGTTAAGTGCAAAGGACAAAAAACAGGACAAACTTTGAATAAACGAACTGATGATCTACTTTCTTTTAATGCATATTCCATATGGCCGGACGTTTCTACCTCCTGGGGAAATCCAATATTCGCCATGACCGGTTTTCTGACTCTCAATTTTCACTAAATCCGATGGGTTCACTCTGTTCTGAAACACCATGATATATTTCTTCTCTTCAAATTCAAATTCTGGCGCATACATTTCAGCCACATTCAGATCAGGTGTTGAATAAATACCACGACCGAAAGCAAAACGCTTTCCCTTACTTAACAGATAGCCATCGTCTGCAATTGATCTCGCATTATGCTTTGCAGTACCATGATACGATACTGGCCAAGAATTATGATCGGTTCCGAGCCATCTATCATCCCCATTATCATACTTTCCGACAACCTTTAAGGCATAGCGTTTCCATCCACATGGTCTTCGATATTCAATCCCTCCACGAAAGTGTTTTTTCCCATTATCACTAATATTTGTAAAATCGTAATCATAACGTGAATCCAAGGTGTTAGAGTCTAGGTAATTTACAATAATACCACCACCACGAAGACGCAAAACAAGATGTAGAGTAGATCCATGATCAATTTTATAGTCCGCTACAGTTCTACCGTCTTCTAATTGTCTACCGACGAAAACTAAACGTTGTTGGTCTGGTGGAATACCTTCTTTATATTCAATTTTTTGCTTTACCTCATCGATGGTAGAATGAGTTTCAACTTCTAGCATAATACGTTTACCAGTAAGTGTCATTACATGCAACAAAATACCATTTTTTGGTCTTTGAAGATTGTCAGAAGTATCATGTCCTTGGGTAAAACTATCAGAAAATGAGTCTCCAACAAGATTAAATTGATGAAATGAATGCATGTCGACTTGTTGACGGCAGGTGCCCATGGAAATATTGCCAAGTTCTTTTTCTGAAACAAATTTATGTCCCGTCATTACAGCTGAGAGCGCAGCGTTAAGAAGATCGATGTTAGACATTTTTTTGATGAATTTACAGAAATGACTGAAAGTCAATTATTTAAAGATTTTTTTTTCCAGACGGAGTTTACGGGAAAACTTCACTAAAGAATGTTATTGTTTCTATTTTGAGTGTCTTACGATAAACTATGTACACTCCCATGACACAAGTCATGGCCCGATGATCAATTTTGAGCATGATCGGCGAAGGAAAAAAAAAAGGTAAAAGTATTTTTCGTGTAATTATTAAATAATATACTGCATAAATTTTACATTGTTAGAGTAGACAAGACTTATAGTTTTCAAAAATGGCGAAATTTCATTTGTTTACATTTGTAACTTTTTCGCAATGGGATCAAAACATAAAGAACTATCTGAAGGTGAATGAAATCAGATAGTTGGTGCTTGAAAATGTGGTATGGGTGTTACTGCTATTTCTGAAAAGCTAGGATTTGCACTTAGAACAGTTAAAAGGATAATAAAGTACTATAAAGACTTTGGAGAGTTAAAACCACCACCTCAAATTGGAAGACCACCAGTATTGAATAATTATGATACTTGACATTTATTATATATTCTAAAAAAGGATTATAAAATTATATTAAATGTTTTACAAGATAAATTTGCACAATCTATATCTATTAAGGTCTCTACCCATACTCTTCAATATACTTTCATAAAGAGGATTATTATGCTCAAGTTGGAAAAAGAAAATCATTTGTCAGTAATCAAAATCAAATAATTCATTTTAATTGAGCAACAAAATAATTATAATAAACTTTTGAATAGGATTATATTATTTAGAGTGATAAGTCTTATTTTGAAGTATATGAAGGTAATGGCCATAATTATGTTTGGTGATTATCTAAAGAAAAATATGATATAAATTGTTTTATTTCAATATTTAAATCCAATAGAAGAAAAGTAATGGTGTGAAAATATTTTATTATAGGTGACTTAGATCCATTAGTATAAATTAATAGATAACAAAAGGCAATTGACTACATTAATATTCTTAATAATAACTTATTACCATATTTAGAAAATTCTTAATATTCAAAATAATTATTTATTTCAAGATGATAATTGTTCAATTTATAAAGCAAAGAATATAAAAAAATAAGTTATTAAAAAAAATATTTCTTGTCTTCCATGGCCTATTTAGAGTTCTAATCTCAATCCTATTAAGTATTTTTGGGATAAATTAGATTGTTAAATTCATAGACATAATTTTTTATCAACTAATGAATTAAAATTATTTAAATTTTTACAAAAGGAATAATTTAAAATGGATGTTTCAATTTATTATAATCTTGTATTAAATATATCTTATTATATTAAGGCTGTTAAAAATTCTAAAAGTAATCCTATAAAGTATTAGATATATAAATAAAATTTTAAAAACTATAGAAAAAAAAATTATATGTTCAAAAAAAATATATAATTAGTTAGATTCTTTAAATTTGTAAAAAAAAATTTTCTGTTTAACTATTATTATTATCAAATTTAATTATCAAATCATAATTTTTGTCATTTAAATATAAGATATAGGATCCTATTTTCGTGACTACTCTTATTTTTGTGGATTTTATTTTTAAATATATATTTTTTTAATTTATTAATAAATTTATTAATTTAAATATTTTATTTTATA